ATCTCCCTGCCAGCCCTCTGTACCTCTCGGGTTTTATATGGTCCAGATATGGTCAGTTAGGCTAGTCCAATTGTCTTTTTCAAAGTTTTAAAAAATCTACCCAAAGAAACTATAGTTTGAAATCCAATAACTTGCACCATGTTTATCATTTGCATAAGCCCATAAAAGATAGATCAAAGCTTAGAGGCCTAAAGAAAAGCAAAATTGAGCTTCATCTCTACTTCAGAGTGAAAGGGAAATAAGTAAAATATTTAATGGACAGTGTATATTTTGTCACTAGTAATATAAACCAGGTCACTACTGCCAAAGCAAAGAATAATTTTTTACTTAATTTGTATAGGTATTTCCTCAATATTATATTTTGGGTAGGTTGTGAAAGCCAGGTAAGTTTATGCAATCAGAAAAATAAAAGAAGAGGGATGCCTGGGTGGCTCAGTTGATTAAGCGTCTGCCTTTGGCTCAGGTCGTGTTCCCAGGGTCCTAGGATCGAGTCCCGCATCGGGCTCCCTGCTAAGCAGGGAGACTCCTTCTCTCTCTGCCTCTCCCCCTGCTTGTGCTTGCTCTCTCTCACTCTCTCTGACAAATAAGTAAAATCTTAAAAAAAAAGAAAAGAAGTTGATGAATAGAATGCCCCCAACTACATGCTTTTCTGGCCTTGTCTGCTGGGCCCTCTGCCCTGAGCTGCTGCTTCTGTGATGCTGATCCACTTTTGTCCCCATGCTGTCCATGCCCTCATGCCCTTTAATAGCTTTTCCATCCCTGGGACAAAACTTTGATAAAGGCATCATCTGTTCTATGTTTCCGCTTTGCCCACCCCCTTGCTCAAATAATTAATCACTCCCTTTTGGACTATGTGCTTCATATAGGTACACACACACACACACACACACATCACTGTCAGATGATTATAAAGATTTTACTCTTCCATATTAATGTGTAAGATCTTTGGGAGTTGTGAATATTCTGTGCACATTGATCTTGACATACTAGTGACTTGCTCAGTACTTGATATAATGACACAGTAGGAATTTGTTGGATTGGCCTACATGAAGGGATAGGTATTTCCATCTTAAAGTCATTGGTTGTGAAATAATCCTAATACCATCTATTTTTTGTTTGTTTTCATGGTGTAGCATCTAGCATTCTAGAGCAACCTTTAAAAAAAAAAAAAGTAGAATTTTTTCTTTCTCCCAAGAAAACTCCTTTAACCCTGTGGCTTTTAGAAAACAAACTGAGGGTTGCTGGAGGGAAGGGGGTGGGGGGATGGGGTACCTGGCTGATGGACATTAAGGAGGGCACGTGATGTAATGAGCATTGGGTATTACATAAGACTGATGAATCACTGACCTCTACCTCTGAAACCAATAATACATTGTATGTTAATTAATTGAATTTAAATTTAAAAAATTACAAATTTAGTAGAAAGAACATGTGGCACTTCTAAACAAGTATATGGATAAAAATAACATTCATCCTGCTTTATTGAGGCCAAGATTAGATCAGTACATTATCATTCTGGATTTGCCACTTTCTTTCCTCTTTAAAATAATGAAATGTTTAAGTTTTCTGTAAGAAGCATTCATATAGACTTTAACAGTTGTCCTATATGTATACATAAACACACAGGGAATGATTTGAGAGCCATCTCCAAAGACAGTCTGAGGAATCTATTGTTGCTGAAGCTCATGAAGACATTTTTTTTTCATGAAAACAAATCTTCATTAAAAACATGTTACAATCAGATTGTTTAACATTAGGGATTGAGAGATCATTGAGAATGATCCACACTAGGGATTTATGTTGAAGAGTAGTTCTGAGAGAAATAGGTCTTTGGAAATGTGTGGGGATAAACTTTTTGGTTTTTTTTTTTTTTTTTTTTTGCAAAGGAAGCAGTAATATAAGGACTAGGAAATACTAATGACACGTAAAGGGTGGCAACCAGGGATGATAAACATCCTCCACAACAAAGATAGTCCTTCACAAAAAAGAGTTGTTCCAACCACAGTGCTAGTAACACTCCCCTGAGAACTACAGTGGGATGTGGCCACAGCTAGCTGCTGACTGGACCTGACAAAGTAAAAATGGGGCTTATTAAGGACAAAGCTAGAGTGAGTGGCAGTGTCTCAACAGCATGACATAGTCACCCAGCCCTAAGGTTTGCTTCAGCTCAGGGAATCTACCAGAAAAGTAAGAATATAGACTAGAAAAAAGAAGAAGAAGATGACGACAACAATGAGGAAGAAAGAAAAAAGAAAAAGAAAGAATGAATCTGAATCATGGACACAACTCATCTGTGAGGAAGTTCTTTATCAGAAGAAGCACATCTTTTTGGTCACAGTATCTCCAAACATCCATCTTGTTCAAAAAACAAAAGCATAATTATTACATGGCTAATATCCTACCAAAAAAAAAAATCCAGTCCATTCATTCAGCAAATATTAAGTATATTCTTTATTACAGGTTGCTTTAGGCTCTGCTAATTGAATGTCGAATGAAAACACATGGTCCATCCTCTAATGTGGCTCAAGGTCTAGAGACATTTATCAGGTTCAAAAGGTTTCTTTTTTTTACAAAAATATTCCCATTTTGAAGACTGAGTAATATAAGAGATCTTTCCTTTGCATTTAAGTGAAAATGGAGTTATAATATCACAAGTATTAGGACAAAAGCCATGGTCATGCCCAAAGAGAAGGGACAAGTAAGCAGCCTGAAAGGAAAAGATTTCTGGTTAATAGCAGGTATATATAAATGTATGCATTGTGAGCCCATTTTTAAATTTTTATTTAAATTCTTATTAACATATACTGTAATGGTTTCAGGAGAATTTAGTGGTTCATCACTTGTATAGAACACCCTCAGTTTGTTCTCTAGCATTAAGAGTATCTTAAGGTCCCCCCCCCATTTTCCCCTCTCCCATATGTGTGAGCCCATTCTTTATAAACTGAGTTAAAAGATAAACAGCTTTGCTACATAGTCCCAATTGCTTTGAACTATAGTTTTAAAATGGATTCAGCTAAGCTTTCTTGTCATCTCCGTTTTAAAAATTGTTTGTTTTGCTTGGCAAGTAAAGCTATCATCCAAATCAAATAATAGAATAAATTAAAAGGGGGGAAATAGCAGGAGAGTCTGCATCTGAATTATCCAATTTGGTTTCCTATAATGGTCAATTTTCCCAGATAATTGTTTCTTTCTTTTACTTTGTCTCTGCCTAAGAAAAGGATGTAAGTCCTTTACTTTCCCCTTATGTCCCCTTTCTCCACAGTAGCCAAATCATTTAAAGATAGTCCTTAGTCAGATCAATAGGATTTACAGGAACTACGGCCAATCTACAGAATGATATATATATGCAAAGATTGTCATTGCAAACTGCAAAATAAAGAATCACTTTGGTAATATTTAAATAAATAAATAAATATATATATATATGTTTAGTCACATCCTTACTTGTCAGTACCTCTTCCCAAAGCAGGATGAATGTTTGCATAGGAATGACTGGCCTCCATTTGCTGGACAAGATGTGAGTTTGGTGTTCCAGAGCTGCCTGCGCACTCCGTTAAAACCTCAGCTGTACTAAATCCCTAACTCAGCATTAGAGAAAATAAGAAATGATCAGAAGATGTTGACTTTATGCTAAATTTATCAATCAAGTGAACTGAACTGTTTCCAAGAAAAAGTCCTACAATTATTTTTTTTCATTGAAAAATGTTCTTAAAATATGGTCCTCAGACTGGTGGCACTCTGCATCATTTAGAGAACTTGTTGGAGGGGTGGCGCCTGGTGGCTCAGTTAGTTAAGCCTCTGCCTTTGGCTCAGGTCATGATCCCAGGGTCCTGGGATGGAACCCCAAGTCCAGCTCCCTGGTCAGTGGGGAGTCTGCTTCTCTGTCTTCCTCTACCCTCCCCCTTCTCATGCTCTCTCTCACTCGCTCTGCTCTCTCTCTCAAATACATAACTAAGTCTTTTTTTAAAAAAAAGAGAGAGAGCTTGTTGGAATTGCAAATTCTTGACGCCACCTTAATTATCAGAAATTCTTGGGGTGAGGCCCATCAATCAAGCCTCTCAGAGGATTCTAATGCATTTCAAAGAGACGTAGGCATAGATTATGTCATAGAATATAACTGCTTAAAAAGCTACAAAGACATATTTGTGATGCTACCAATCTATGAGGGAAGCCCTGAAAGAAAACAATACAAAGAAGAAGAGAAAAGGAAAATTAAGTTTTTCCTTTGGTTTCAATCTAGTGACTAGACTTTATCTTTCTAACATGATAAACAGATGCCTTGGCAAAAGAAAAACTGGCTCATGAAGCTCTGATAAAAGATCACAGGAAATATTTGCTTCAAATTTTGCATAACTATTTGTTTTATCCAGAACCTCTGATGAAAGATCACAGGAAATATTTGCTCCAAATTTTGCCCAACTATTTGTTCTAAGGGAAATTATTTTTCTTTCCAGCTACACAATTGTTTTCTGTCACTTGGGAAAAGATTTTTTTTTTTTTTTTTTTTTAGGTAAGGAAGAAATGTTACCTCTCACTCTCAAAAGACACACATCTATAAAGACATGCATTTGTCCATAGAAAGATACATGAGTAGATTCCATGCAGGTCTGTCTTTCAGTGTGAAAATTAAAACTAATGGGTAGACACAATATATTGCTAGATGTGGCAGATAGGTAAATTTAAGTAATTAATCATACTTGTTCCCTTGATAAAATTGAATTTTATATTTTTAATTTTTTTTTAAGATTTTATTTGAAAGAGAGAGAGAGAGAGACAACGAGCGGGGGGAGGGGCAGAGGGAGAAGCAGACTCCCCCCACACGGGACTTGATCCCAGGACGCTGGGATCATGACCTGAGCCAAAGGCAGACACCCAACTGACTGAGCCACCCAGGCGTCCCTAAAATTGAATTTTAATTTTAAATTTCAACTTGAGACATTATGTCACAGGGCCCTAGACCTTTCATGTGTAACTAATGTGTTTTTCCACGTGTCTGACAGAAAGATGGAACGGTGGAATAGCTTTCTCGATCAACAGGATGACACTGATAACTGCTCAGAATCCGTGAAGTTTGATGCCCGCTCCATGACAGCCTTGCTCCCTCTGTGTAAGTACAAGAGGGGGGTGCCTGTGGCAGTTGTCCTCAGAGTTAGTGACATTATGTAAAATTACAGTCCTGGGACTTACCTTTCATGTGTATGAATGTGAAGACTTAGTGGACAAGTAGGTCTTCTCTTTTGAGACAGAATAGAAAATAAGCTTAGGTTGGACTAAGGAAGCTTTGTTACAGGTTAAATTGGTTCACAGTGTTGATGGTGTCCTCTGATTTCGCAGCCGTTGGATGAAGTCCTGGAAGTAACTATACCCCTCGCACCATTAATTGATATTTGAAAATCATGGATGGTATGTACTTTTATTAGTCTCCTAGGGCTGCTGTCACAAATCACCAGAAATTGGGTGGCTTCCAACAACATTTGTTCTCTTACAGCTCTGACGGCCAGAAATCTGGAGTCACGGTGTCAGCAAGGCAGTGCTCCGTTTCAAGGCTCTTCCCCGCCTCTTCCTAGATCCTAGTTGCTCCTGCCTGTTCTTGCTCTTTGGCTTGTAACTGCATCACTCCTATCTCTGCCTTCATCTTCACATGGTCTTCTTCCTGTGCCTTTGTGTCCTCTACTCTCCTTGTAAGGACACCAATCCTGGGACAAGGGCCCACCTGAATCTAGTATGACCTCATCTTAACTTGATTATACTGCAAAGACCCCACTTCCAAATAAGGTCACATTCACGGGCAACTGGAGTTAAGACATCAGTGGTATCTTTTGTGGGGAAACAATTCAATCCACAATAGTGCTGAAACAGAGGTTTGCAGGGTTACAAGAGCTCAAAAGAATCATTATTCGGTTGTATGTGGACAGGTTCTATTAAGGCAGCAGGACTGCATTACTTATAATTCTGCTAAGCTTTAAAGGCTGAGTACATTTCACCAAAAGGGTAGGGTGGGCGAAAGAGGATCCACAGAAATTTCAGTCAGAGGAAGCAGCATATGCAGGGGACAAGATGGATGAGGTCTTACACAGACAAACCTGAAATACAGACTATAACTCCAAGGTATGACGGGTATTGTGCACAACACTATTGATGGGTGAGAGAACGTGGCATGGATGAGACAAAAGGAAAAAGGATCCTAGTAAAAGCTGTTTAAGGTAAAGATGTTGAGAGATTGAGGAGGGAGGACAGAGGCACTGGGGACAGAGAAAAGGCAACAGGAACTTTGGAGAGCTACTTAAAAGGCAGAATGCAGAGGATTTGATTGTAAATTAAAGATAAGGGAGATGCCAGGCTCATTCAGCCTGGCAAAGGGATATCCCATCTTGCTTGTTTTGTGGGTCGTTCTTTTTCTTTTTCCTTAGACCTTTCTCTTTTTTTAGCTTTTTTCGGTCTTATATTTACTTAAAGATTTTCTCTCCTTTTCCTTCCAATCCCTCATAGAACATTACTGAATAATATCTAAACTTTTATTTTTAATTTGGGAACTTACAACCTGAAAACAAAATCTTCTTTTTTATTGTGCAGTGAAAGTAATGGCCATTGGAAAGAAATTGTTAATGGATATTTTATTCACCTAATCAGAGAAAATGTCCTCTACTAAGATTCCCGTACACGTTGAGTTAACTTTTCCACAATTAGGATCCCATTATGTGAATCACTGTTCCAAATAAATGTATAATATGAAAATATTAATATTTTCCAAAATACCCGGAGGATGGGTTTCATTGATCCATTACAAAGTTTAGTCAAAATGTGCAGTTTTCTTTCATTTTTTTATTGTATTCAAATCATAATAGATATCCAAATACAGAATTATTGAGATGAAATTGGAAAAGAAAATTTGCATAATTATTGAAAACAGATGTCTCTTATCGGATTTAAACTCTGAAAAAAATCATAATTATGTAGTTACTTGAGGAATCTGATTTTTACTCTGAATATATTCCCATATGAAACAGAATAAAATTTATGTTTGAATATGTTGATATGAATATTAAAATGTGTCAAAATATTAAAATTTGTCAACTAACTAATGTCCCCAAATGAGACAAGTACAAGTTGTAGAGGACAGTAACTTTGTCATGGATGTTTAGTTAATGGAAAGTAAATCAGTAGTGATGCCCGTATTGGCTTTTCCTGTAACTGTTCTTTTGGCTTCCTACTGAATAAACGGGGACAGATTTATTGTTCCCCTTTTATTCCAATAGGCTTGGTAGTAATGATAGAATTGGAGATTATCAAAATGTTAATTAAGTAAGAAGGGTAAGTTTTTCTAATAGTAGGTTGGGCTTTTGTTTTTTTTAGATCCTAAAAATGGCCCTACCCTTCAAGAGAAACTGAAGTCCCTCAAAGCTGCACTGATTGTCCTTTATCTTCTTGTGTTTGTAGTTCTCATACCCATCATTGGAATAATGGCAGGTACAGTATTCTAGAGTTTTGAAACTCAGCAACTCATCCTGTGAATTAGTTATTGTAGAAACAAAAAGCATTTACAAAGTGTTTCTCAAATTCATAAATTAAAAGATTCTTCAAAGTGATTAGTTTAAAAAAATAAAAATAGAATAGAGAATAGAAGATGAAAATAAACATACAGCTACGTAAAGGTGAGATGGAATGGAATTAGACCATTCCAAAAGATATGTTATCCCTTGGAGTCCTATGTACTTCTTGTGGTGGGTCAAGAATTTTATGATAAGTACTCCAGTTGCCAATGTAAAGATACAAGCAGGACCACTTACATTCACAATGCCTAAAACAAAGCAAAACAACAAGAAAACAAGCCAGTTGTTTGAAAATAAGCTCTTCTGCTCCTAGCGCTGAGAGGAGAAAGAAATATTCCTGCAAGTACTCACCGAGAGGAGATCTTGCCCAATAATGGCCTGTACTTCAGGAATCTCTTTCCAGTTTATATGGCCACATGTTTCATAAGGCTATTATTGAAAATATTTCTAAAAATAACCTGATGACATCCCCTCAACCTAAAAAAAATTAGAAAAAACACTTTAGAGTATATATTTCTTTGGCAAGTCTAACTTGAGGAGGGGATGGATTTGAGAGTTTCCACAGGGGTGAATAGCTTGCATATAACTCTGTCAGATCTGTAAATATTATTCCGCTTGGTAGCCTTTTTGATGGATTTGATTGGCATTTGAATTTATATGCCCGTGGCTCTCCTCTTTCTGACTGGCAAAATTTCTGGACGTAGGCTCTAACAAACGGGGAGTAAGATACATTTTTATGTGCATACTAATCAACTTAACAAGAAAAGTGCTCCTAAACACAAGGCCAAACCTCCTCTGTGAAGAGGCAACCTAAAGGAATATTCTAAGAGCCAAAATTTGCTAAGAAATAATAATAAAACCACAACAACTGTGACAGTAGCTGTCACTTTTGGGCATTTACTATGTTCAGACACTGGTCTTATAAATATGCCACGGATTATTTTCATATACCTTTATAATTACCCTTGAGCAGATATATACTTATTCTCATTATCCATGAAAGGAAACTAAGACTATTCAGTAGTAGAGCTGCAGGTGCCACCCATGAGTCTTGACTCCTAACCTCTATGGTCTACTCTCTCCCGATGTAATTGAATTTTTAGAACAAAATGGGATTGGCCAATTAAACACACACATACAAACACACACATGCAAAACAGTTTCCATAATTTTAGCTCAAAAAACATTTCCACAGGTAAAAATTCATTCCTATTTTGGCCATTAAAAAAAAAAAAAACAAAAAACTAAAATCCACCACAACAAATGAAACTGATCAACCAAGCAAACCAACCACAGCCATCTCTGGAAAAGGACCCACTATGTCTATCATTACACAGCTGACTTCCTGATGAATTGAGATTATCTGTATGTTGTTTATGTATATGCTTATGTTCATTTGAAACACACAATTGAAAGATGCTTCATTGCTTGGGATCATTAGCTATAAGCTAGTTAGAGTCTGGGTAAATTCCATCCCTTTCATACAAACCATGGCATACAGAGTCAATGCCAGGGAATGCAACTTCTATCTAACAGGCACGTGCAGAATGGGCCAGTGAAGTCTGGAAAGAATTCAGGGTTCTAACCAAGCTCAAAATCTTTGGGCTATTAGAAAATACTACCAAGTTTCCATATTCATTGTTGGGTTGAAATGACTGATCCAAAGTAGTTTTATTAGAAAAAAAAATGAAAGAATGGAAGAATGAAAGAAAAGGAAGGGAGGGAGCTTTGTTTCCTAACACTATAGCAGGCACCTAGTAAGACTGACAAGAAGTTAAAAATGTTAAAATCCTATATGGTCACATTAGCACTCAAATTCATCAGAACTTGGAATAGATCTCACTGTTTCTATCACACTTGAATAAACAATTGACAATCCATTTTCAACTTTAATTAAGTTACAGATCAGAATATTTTCCAAAACCAAAACAAGACAAACGCAATACATATCTCCACTTGATATCAAGAAATTGTAAATAAAGACAAAATATATCCCTAAAAGATGGAAATTACTCTGTTTTGGCAAATATGAATTGATGGATGAAATAAAATGTTGTGCAGAAAGACTTTAAATTTAAAATGTCTTATATGATGAAAGATGCTTCTTAATGATGAAGGCTACTCCATATGCTATCATTTCTTAATGAAACTCCTGGACCCTTATCGTAGTACAACAACATAATAATGTCTCTGGCAATAAAGTACAATCTAGGATTAATGCATATATAATTGTTGCTGAAATACTGAAGATTCTTTAGCTCACAATAATACGAACTTTTGGCAGGAGAAGATATTAGCAACATGAAGGAGTAAGTGTGATCTGTGAAATCAAATATCACTCTCTCCCTGGGGGTTTACACAAGCCATAAAAGTTTGTCTCCTTTCAAATGTGAAATATTAAAGTCACAAAATGCCATCTTTCCAACGATAATGAAAGAAATGAGCATTTGAAGATCTGAACTCTGGCATTCTTTACCTAGATTTATGATACAGAATTAAAGAGTTTTTTGAAAAGTTAGGATTAAATTAGTTTTCATATAGGATTTGGGAAAACAAGCCAAGTTGTGTTTGTAAATCTATAAGCAAAAATGTAGTCTTTATTGTCAACTTTATGTTGAAGTCCATGTCAGATAGAAACCTTTGGTCACATGATATTTTGTCAGTTGAAGTCTTCCCTTTCCACACTGTGAAAAAGATTTGCTTTATCCATGTGAACTAGAAATTATTTCCAGGGAAAGAAAAATGACATGGTTGAGCAATTAGATCACTATGCTTAATAAAATAAAGTGCAGAAACTACTGTGCTTATTGCAACACCCAACCTCCCCCCAGTTTTTTTATATTAAGCATTATTAATTCCCCTTCAATATTTTCAATATTGTGCATACAGACACATAAGTCACAGAATTCAAATCCAAAATATTAATAACAAAAAAGCTGAAAGTTATCAAGTGCTTATCATATGCCAGGAAGTAGTATAAGCACCTTCTATATATTAGCTCATTTAATTATTTGAACACTGTTAGTATCCTGTCATACAGTTAGTAAAATAGATGCACTGACAGAATAATTTGCCCAAGATCACAGATGAAAAAGGAAAGAGCAAGAATTGCTAACCCAGGCAGTTCCACTCCAGAACCTGGATTCTTAACTGCTACTTAAAAAAGGCAACAATCATCATGAAGGGAACATTTGTAAGGGACATCTTTGAAATAGTTTTGTAAAAATTGTTAGTTTGGGTCTCTCTTTTAGTCAAAATCCATTCCCAGTTTTACATTCCCAGAGTTCCTCAAGCGGTGCTCTATACATAGTAGGTGCTTAATAAATAAATCATAGAATTAAATGCCTGAACGAGGCTGTCAGTCCAGAACTTGCTCCCCACACTTAATGTAATAAATGTGATGAGATCCAACTAAGAAATATATTTTTTGTCCATTTCCTTAATAAATTAAGAAGTGTAAAATAATACTCTGGATCATATAAAAATGTCGAATATTGTATTAATTCAAATAAGCTAATTTTAAAGAATCTAACTAAGAAAATATGATATAATGTGGCTTTTTAAAATTGGGATTTAATTGCATATATAGTTTCATACTTATTCCTAATATAATAATACCTACAATAGCAACCATCATCAAACATCTTTTTTAAGTAAAGATGGTGAAGACCGTAAACTCTCCAAGATCCTATCTTCCATGGATAAGGTATTTTAATTTGAACAGAATTGTCCTATGGGCCATCTGTGTGCTATGGGATTTACATCCTTACCTCATGCATCCTCAGCACCACTGTTGGAAGCAGTTACTACTTTTCAATCTTTCAGGAACTTAAGAAGAGAACTTTCCCAGAGTACCCCAGCTAGTAATTGAGGAATGGAGCTAGATTCTAGAATCAGGCAGCTTGTTCCTGAGTAAATACCAGCCTCTCATTTATATAACAGGTAACTTTGAGCTTAGGGTGGAACTAATTATCTTTTATGTGTTATCTCACCTAATTCTCAAAAATCCATAAGGCTGATACTATTGCCATATCATTTTTATTAAGAAAGCTGATGTATCAGGTGTAGCTAGCTATTCATGTAGATATATTTTTAAACCATATAGAGTTACTCTTTTTATTGCTCAGTAATGGTCAAATGTAAAAAATCTTATGCATTCAAAATAAATGAATAAAAGTGATATATATGTAGATAAAATAATATGGATAGAAATGGAGATAGGAAAAACAATCTTAACTATCACTGATTAGTGATAAAATGGTACTTAACATTTTTTATTGTGTATAAATACGTATTATTTGTATCTGCAGAGCTAATGTTTATGCTCTTCATGATTTGAAACTCCAAACATATTGCTCTAGATCTTTTCAGAAGGATAATTACCTTGTTTAGAGAACATGTGCCCATTTGGAAATATATATCGGCAGCTCTGTATATCCCCTAAATACAACTTAATAGATTTTATTTTTTTAGGAAATAATTACCTAAAAGATTGTTTCTCAAAGCATTGGATATATTAGTAAAAACAGAACAAATTAAGTGTAGGAATTTTGTTAAATGAATCTGGTAGATCCATACAGATAATACAATGTAAGTATTAAAATTATTTTTGTAATAATAATATGCTAGTGAAAAAAAGAGACAGATTTGATATATATACACCAAAATGTTAGCATTTTAACTCAGGATGGTGAGATTAAGAGTAAGTTATTTTTCTTTATTACCTATCTTTTAAAGGTTTTCTGTTATGAATATATATTTTATAATAGGTAAAGAGGAATCTTATAAAAATATTTTTTAAAGTGAAAAAAAATTATTTGCTCAATTTCCTGTCCCACCAATAATAAATAGGCCTGTATCAACTGAAAATGACAATTCTCTGCCAGCTTAAGTGATTGGATGAGGAAGATGAGCCAACAATTTATGCATACGGTGGATAACACTAATACTTCTATTTTTACTACATATCGTTTTTGTCACATCATTTATCTTTGTAACAGCTAATGTATTCAACATGCTTGCTTCAGATACTGTGTTAAGCATTACCTCATTTTATCCTAACAGACCTGAAGAGTAGGATACAATGCACTTCATAATCTTACTGTCAAAGCTAAATGCAGTGGCTCAGAAGATGCATATAAGCAGCAATTCAGAAAGAATGACTTGATCCTGGCATCAGTTCTGATGTAAAGTGGGAAAAGGAGGCTGGCTGTCTTCCTTTCAACAATATGCATAGTGTGGTTCACACATTGTATATTTAAAATAAATACCCGGTTTCAGATAGCATTCAAAATGTTAGAATGGAATGGAATGATACAGAATGGAGTGGTGTATGCATTTAAGGATACAGGCCATGACTCTGTTTATTTTTACTTAACTATACAGCACAGCTTCTGAAGAGGGAAATGAAGAATTGCACAGTTGGTCCAATTAATGCAAATGAAATATCTCAAAGTCTCACAGGAAAAGGAAATGACAGTGAAGATGAGATGAGATTTCGAGAAGCTGTTAAGGAACAAATGAGCAACATGGAGAAGAGAATCCAATATATTTCAGATGCAGAAGCCAATCTCATAGATTCATTGCATTTCCAAAATTTTAGTCTGGTGACTGATCAAAGATTTAATGATGTTCTTCTCCAGTTGAGTACCTTGGTTTCCTCAGTTCAGGGACATGGAAACGTGATAGATGAAATCTTCAAGTCGTTAATAAGTCTGAATACCACATTGCTTGATTTGCAGCTCAGTATCGAAACACTGAATGGCAAAGTCCAAGACAATACATTAAAACAGCAAGAGGTAAGAGCTTTTGTATTAGAACGTCACATGCTGGGATTGAATCCATCTAGATCCTATCTCCTCAGACAGTTCAAGAAAACAAAATTTGTAAACCCCATTTCAACATCATCCAATTTACCCTGATTCCTCTGGCAATCTTACCAGAAGGTTGTACATGAATTTACCTACTGTCTTCTCCAGATTCCCAACAAAATGGGGGATTTTTTTCCATTGGATATAGACTCTCTTAAGGTATTTTAATTCTATAAATCCTGTTATACTACCTCTTGAGACTGTCTAAACCAATTACAATTTCTAGATTGTCTTAGTGGGTACTCTGTATTTGTAAATTTTACAACAGACCCACATTTCTTCATCATTAAAGAAATGGAAACCTCATTTACATGAGTAACATACAGAATCTACATTTTAAAATAGTTTATTTTGGCATTCCCAAGAAGTATACATAAGTTTTAACATGTAAAGATAACTATAATTAAAGAGTTAAATTTTGAATAATACTTAAAACATTTTATTTTTATCATAGGTTCAAATACACAAGATAAGAGAGCAAGCCATGTTTAGACCAACTTGTCAACAAAAGTTTCATTGTAAAGGGTCAGTTGTGAACAGTTTAGTCTTTGGGGACTTCGAGGTCTCCTTTGTGACTATTCAGCTCTGCTATTCTAGTGCATAAGCAGCCAGAAACACTATGTAGACACAGGAGGGAAGCTGTGGTCCAGTTAATCTTTGTTTACAAAAACAGACCAGCTCATGGATCATAATTTTCTCACTTCTGCTATAGACTATCCTGTGGCCAACCCGCCAGATTACTTTGTATTGATGAGAAAGAAATTAAAAAGCAAACCCCTTATTTTAAAATTGTATTTTTTTGGTTGTTAAATAATTACAATTGTTCCATCCCATGAAAAATAAGCATATGACTAAAATTTAACTACTCTTGTGAAAAAATAATCTTTGTATTATCAAATATCTAAGACCTAAGATCATAATTAATGTGAAGCCTATAAAGTTTCCACCATTAGCTAAGCAACGTTGGCATCTTGGTAGTAGATTTTATTTGAATAGACCCATGTTTGATTATTGAAGTTGTTTTCTGTATAGAGACAGTATTAACAGTAGTGATTTTTAAAAGTGGATGTCACTTACAGAGTAACAATAAACCTCTAGAGTTAAAACATCAGATGAAGACCAACTAAAGTATTGACTAGGGAATAGAAAAAAAGTTTAAGAAGAAATAGTCTACATCTTTATATGTAAGGTACAATCACTCAGAACTTTTGAATTTCACATGATCCTGGTTTTAAGATGTCAGAAGACAACAGCATAGCTATATAAATATGGGGGCTTTGCTGGTAAACCTCATCCCAACACCAGCCTTGATAATCCATGTCACATCTTCCAAAATCTGACTGTAAGCATTTCCCACACTGTTAATAAGTATCTAAGTATATCCCTTACTATTGAAATATCAAGGACTCTGGGGCATCTGGGTGGCTCAGTTGGTTGGGTGTCTGCCTTCACCTCAGGTCATGATCCTGAGGTCCTGGGATCAAGCCCCGTGTTGGGCTCCCTGCTCAGTGGGGAGCCTGCTTCTCCCTCTCCCACTCCCCCTGCTTGTGCTCTCTCTCTGTCTCTGGCAAATAAATAAATAAATAAATACATACATACATACATACAATCCTAAAAAAAATAAATATTAAGGACTTAGGCTATGGAAGGGTAGAGAGAGTCACAAGATAGTAACTATCTGCAGGGCAGAAGAATATGGGAGATAATAAAATTTCAGTTATGAGAGTAATAACTGATTAAGTTGGAGGGAAAAAGGAAGGGAAAAGAAATATTACTTTATGTAAAAACAGAAGAGCAGTGAAAGAGAGCAAGGAGAAAGTTAAGATGGACCAGATGCACAGACAGGATATATTTGGTATTGCTAATGTCCCAGATTCAGTAGAGACCATAGGATATCTATGAACTCACATCAAGAGTTGAAACCAAATTGGAAACTATTTGGAAGACAGTAGAAGTCCTGAACGTGTTTGAAGTGATAATTACTGGAAATAATCGAACTCTGGTGATCAGTAAACTCTTTGAGTTCGGGTAGATCACACTTATGTTTTGGAGAGGGTCCCAGCATTAGAAATGAAGTTACAAGGGAATGGAGGGACTTCCAAAGCTTTTTTTTTTTTTTTTTTCCAGGCAACAATCACTTGTAGAAATTTAGAAACTGGGTCAGTACTAGGGTATGTATATGGATGTGTGTGTGTGTCTGCACACATGTGCTCATTGAAAACAATATTCGGACTCTCATCTCCATTGCTTAAACAGTTTTTTTTTTAAGATTTTATTTATTTATTTGAGAGAAAGAGACATAGCAAGAGAGAGAACACAAGCAAGGGTGGTGGGAGAAGGAGAAGCAGGCTTCCACCAGAGCAGGGTGCCTGATGCGGGGCTCCATTCCAGGACCCTGGGATCATGACCTGAGCCGAAGGCAGACACTTAACAACTGAGCCACCCAGGCACCCCTGCTTAAACAATTTTATTCATCTTCAAATCTTTAACCCAATGCAGGAATAAGTAAATTAAATGAATGCCCGAATCAGTAAATGCTGTTTGAAGGAAAGGCTTATAAGTGATACCAGCATGATACCTATCAAGGACAGACCAAACATCAGTTTGAGGGAAAAAAAAGTACACTAGCACAAAAGAAAAGAGAGAGGTGGGAATTCATCATGTCCATTGTTCATAAAAAGGACTGTAAGACTGCAAAATTAAATGTCAGTTTCCAGCGGGGCCGCTGATGGTGGAGTATGGAAGGTGTGTATGGATGCTGAATAGGGTTTAAAAAAAAAATAAAGTGCACTTTCCTTCTTCCCAGTAAAAATTATTTCAAGTGAAATCTGGCTAATAGGAGCACCATATGCAGTTTTCAAAAAAAGGGAATAAAAAGGTAGCTTGAGCTTTGTGTATGAAAAACATGGACAACTCCTGGTTTTTTGGTAGCAAAATCAACTGCTAGCCCCCTGCCGTCTGCTCCATGGCTATCTGGAGCAGCCCAAATGAAGGTGAGTGTATTTTTTATGTTGCTGTGCTTTACAAACATCCATGCTCATATCCAAGCTTTAAACATGTTTTTCCAAATTGTATTTATTTTTTTAAAGATTTTATTTATTTGTCAGAAAGAGAGAGCACAAGCGGGGTGGGGGGAAGAGGCAGAGGGAGACGCAGACTCCCCGCTGAGCAAGGAGCCCAATGCAGGACTCGATCCCAGGACCCTAGGATTAAGACCTGAGCTGAAGGCAGATGCTTAACCAACTGAGCCACCCAGATGTCCCAAAATTGTATTTATTTTAAATGTCATATTAGTTTGAGGTGTACATAGTGATTTGATAATTTTATACATTACTCAATACCACAAAAGTGTAGTCACCATCCATCCCCATACATCTCATAATATTATTGACTGTATTCCTTGTGCTGTACTTTTCATTATCATGACTTGTAACATATGATATGGAAATGTCAGATAGTCAATGAAGGAGGAGATAGAGAGTAGAGACAAAAGAATAGGGATTTGGATGAGGGGAAGGTGCAGTTAGAGCTGTAAAAACTGATAAGCTTCTCTGCTTGAGTGTAGTGCCACCGAAGAGGCCAATCTAGGTATCTGCTCATTTCCTTTCAAAGGCTTTACACCCTAACTGCCTTGACCCCCTCACTTCAACTTGTCCAGTCTAGTCAAGGCAAGTGTAATTTTCTCTTTGTACCTGGATTTGGGAGCAATATACCGCTGGCTTATTTCTATATGCCAGTGGGAAATGAAAATAACATTAGCAGTTAAGCAGAGATGTCCTTAGAAAAGTATAGAGCAGATGGGCTTGGGCAGCTCCTCAGTGGGTGGCGGTGGTGGCCATAGGGGTTCCTCCTGGCCCTGTTTATGTCGGGGCCAGTCCCGGGAAGGATGGCACCCTAGAGCCCAGCCTTGCTGGGGTAGGGGCGGGAGGGTTCGGAGTGGGCACCGGCCATGTCGGAGGTGACCTGGAGTCTGCTGCGGCTCTGGAGCACCAGTTTTAGGAGAGGCACCGACTTCGACTCTTGGGGCCAGCTGGTGGAGGCAATAGACGAGTATCAGATATTAGGATAAAAAGAGGCCCAAGCTCAACACAATAATTCTGAATTCACAGTAGAACAAAAGAAAACCATAGGCAAAATTGCAACATGTTTGGAATTACGAAGTTCAGCTTTATAGTCCAGTCTCAAGAATTTAAACTTGGGGACCTGAAGAAGCTAGAACCAATCCTAAAGAATATTACATATAATAAAGAATTCCCATTTGACATGCAGCCTGTCCCCTTAAGAAAAATTTTAGCACCTGGTGAAGAAGAGAATTGGGAATTTGAAGAAGATGAAGAAGAGGGTGGTGCTGGAGCAGGGTCTCCTGATTCCTTTCCTGCTAGAGTTCCTGGCACTTTCCTACCCAGGCTGCAGTCAGAACCAGGAATAACGTCACTCACCATCAGAATTGAGAAAATCAGTCTGAAGGATGTAGGGCAGTGATATCACAGTTAGCCTAAAGGATCTGAATGGCATGGATTTAACTCCTGTGCAAGATACTCCTGTGGCTTCAAGAAAAGAAGATACATACGTTCATTTTATTGTGGACATTGAGCTCCAGAAGCATGTTGAAAAATTAACCAAAGGTAGGGGTGCCTGGGTGGCTCAGTCGTTAAGCGTCTGCCTTCGGCTCAGGTCATGATCCCAGGGTCCTGGGATCGAGCCCCGCATCGGGCTCCCTGCTCAGCTGGAAGCCTGCTTCTCCCTCTCCCACTCCCCCTGCTTGTGTTCCCTCTCTCGCTGTCTCTGTCAAATAAATAAATAAAATCTTTAAAAAACAAAAAAATTAACCAAAGGTGCCAGTATCTTCTTTGAATTCAAACACTACAAGCCTAAAGAAAGGTTCACCAGCACCAAGTGCTTTGCTTTCATGGAGATGGATGAAATTAAAGCCGGGCCGATTGTAATAAAACTCTACAAGAAACTCACTGACTTTTAAAAGAAAGAAATTGCAGTTATTGACCAAGAAACCACTTCATCTTCATCTACATCAGATTTTGCATAAGGAATGATCCTGACATGAGTCACCTGGAAATGTCTGTGAATTCTCCCACCCAGTAGCAACCCTCCCGGCTCCACATAGCGCATTCCCCCTCCACCAGGCGGGAGGCAGGGCGGGCCTGCGGGATTCACAGTCCAGCAGGCCACTGACATAGACTACTCCTTTGGATATGGGCTTATCGTAGTTTTGAAACATGTTTTTACTTTTATAGAATTTGTGCAATTCATAGTCTCTTTTCTAACTTACCACTATTCCTGCCCTGCTTCCTGGAACAACACTGCTGTGGGTAGGATGTGCTCATCTTCAGAATCAATACGGCAATAAGAATGTGCTAGAGTTTACACATCTGTTCAAAAAAAAGAAAAGAAAAGTATAGAGCATACCATGAAGCAGAGGATACGATAAAAGAACAGAGGGACAGAAAATGTCACCAGAATGGTTGAGAAGGTTTGCTGCATCAGAAACAGCCCAACACCCAAAGGAAAACCAAGCCAGTCTTGAAAGGAAAATAAAGACAAACACTGTCAAAAACTTTATTATGACTGTATACTTAACCTCATTCTGACATGTGTGAAGTGATAGCTTTAAAAACAAAACAAAACAAAAAAAACACTGGGGCACCTGAGTGGCTCAGTCAGTTAAGTGTCTGCCTTTGGCTCAGGTCATGATCCTGGGGTCTTGGGATTGGCCCCCCATTGGGCTCCCTGATGTCTGCTTCTCCCTCTGCCTCTCCCCTTCCCCTGCTTGTGCTCTGTCTCTCTCTCTCTCTCAAATAAAATCTAAAAAAAAAAAAAAAAATTGGAAGTAAGAGATTGTTAAAATTCTAATTGAGATTTTACTGAATGTGAAAAACTATCCTGAAGTATTTCCCATTACCACTGAGAATTAACATTAAACTTTATTATTGCTATAAAACATTTTAATATACAAATTCTATCAAATTCACAGAATTGGAATATGTAGCTACTCTACAGTACAAAGAAATTTCACTTCTGATAAAAATACAAGTTTTTTGTTTCATTTTTAGCATTTTGACATCTATATATTTAGGAATGGAAGCATACCTTGGGTATATTCAACTAATTTTGAGGGGACAGAGGGTGTAACAATTCAGCCATTCAGTTAAAAGAGGAAATGCTTCAAAGCCAAAAAATTACTCTTTTAAGACAGTTCTCTAATTTCCGTATTCTTATTCCATAATGTTCTGTAATACTTAAAAAAAAAATACCTCGCTTTCAGGGCTTCTTAAACTTACAGATTTGATAATTATGTGTGTAATAAAAATTGTGGATGCTTATATTTCACAGGACATGAGTAGATTAGAGGAGCTTGTGTACAATACATCAGCAGAAATTATGTCTGTGAAAGAAAAACAAGTGAATTTGGAACAGGAAATAAAAGGAGAAGTGAAAGTACTGAATAACATCACTAATGATCTCAGACTGAAAGATTGGGAACACTCTCAGACATTGAAAAATATCACTTTAATTCAAGGTAAAATATTTTCTCATTCCTCCAGAAAATAATATATTAAAATATACTGTTATGTGCAGAGATTTGGTGTTTGAAATCCTATGGTGTGAAATAGTTTTTGAGCATATGTTTACTACAGATGTCCAGAGAAAGTAATTTTGAGATCTTATCAAAACACAGTAAGATAACAGTATCTTGGTGTTCTTTAATTGAAAGTGATAAAAAAATGTCTTTAAGATCTAATGAGTCATTGTTCAAAATATCCTATATTAATGAAGATGAATACAAGTTTTCTATAAGGCACCAAATTCTCTGCCTGTCCACAAATCAAGCTTGTTAATTCTGTTTTTCAAAACTTCCAGAGTCTTTTTTATTTCTTACCTGATTGTATTATTAATTAGAAAGATCTTTGAACTCTGTAAAATAACAATAAGTTTGTCAATTTCTGCTTTGGTTGCTATTGGTAAACCATAGTAAATTGAATCTTACTGATTTTTAAATTAATATACACATCATATACATTTTTACTCTAGATTTTATTTACATTTTAAATATTTTCTCATATTTTACTTTGTTTTAGGCTTCTCTTACATAAAGAACACTTTTTTTAAAGATTTTATTTCTAAGTAATCTCTATACCCAACATGGGTCTCAAACTCACAACCCTGAAATCAAGCGTTTCAGGCTCTACCGACTGAGCCAGCCAGGCGCCCCAAGAACACTTTTTAAAAAATGTTCAATCTAACCATTTCTTTTCACTGTACTTATTTCTACCATCTTATTTTGTGCTGTTTTTGTCCAGTTCTATGTTTCATTTGCTTTCCTTTCTTGTCGACTTTTGGATTGTTTGAGATTTTTCTCATTGAATTTTTCTTTCCACCAAAAAAATTTTGGAGGCTTTCTAATCTATTTCTGTTTGGTTGGTGGTTGTCCTTAAACTTTATCTTAACAAAGTCTAACATTGATGGATATCTTCACCTTGATCCTAAATATACAGGGAACTTAAAAACTTTGTCTGATGGCCCCTTTCCCTGATTTTCTGTTTTTGAGTATACTTTATTTCTATTTTTTAAGAAAAACCAAGAATTTAGTCAGTATTATTTTTCTTACATTATATGGACAATATTAAAATTTGTACATGAGTTTGCCAATTTTCCCTTCTTCTAAATGTGCCTCAGACATCACTTGTACGATCATTTTCCTTCTTCCTAAAGTATATCTTTTGGAGGTTCATTTAGTGAAAGTCTAAAAGGTGAGACCTTTTGATTTCATCTTCTCAATTTTGTCCTTGATCTTTAAAATTGTTCTACTGCATACATATTTCTTGGGTTGACACCTATTCTGGTTATTTCAATCCATATTTTGAGGATATTTCCTTGGCTTTTGGCTTTGCTTGCTGTTTTAAAAATGACTGCCAATCTGCCTGCCATCCTTCTTGTCTTCATTACCAGCAATTTCACTAGTTGTGTTTTTATATTGATAATTTATTCATTTTGCATTTGTTTTTACTTCTCCTATTTGTGGATTTAAATCCAACATAAATTCAGGAAAGTTATCAGCTTCAGTCTCTGAATACTGCTTCTTCACAACCCTCTCTATCCTTTCTTCTGTAATTCTAATTAAATTCATGTTAGATCCTCTTATTCTAGCCTCCATGTCTGTTAAACACTGATTTATAATTTTAATATTTTTATTGTATTAGTAATAAATAGAAATCCATAAGATTTTTATTACATATCACTAGTTTAGGAAAAAAAAACACTTAGTCTAATATCCAAGTGTTTACAAGAAAAAAAATGTAAAGCAAGTCACAGAAAACTATATATAGTACAATTTTGTTTCTAATGCTCACAATTTAGCAAAAACAAATGATGTGGATTTATAGATGCTTACATATGTAATAAGAATGGTGGCTTGTAAAGTGCAGGAAAGCGGGTGAGAAACACAAAATTCAGGCTAGTGTTTTAACTCTGAAAAGGAAGAAGATAAATGAGATCGGGGAGCACCTAAATAGAGACCTATTTCTTGATTTGTGACATTGCAGGGTTATTCTCTGTTTTATTGTGCTTTATAGCTTACTTATGTGGAATACATTGCATGCACTCTTTAATTCTTACATTAACACAGATGACAAAGAAAAATTTGAATTAATCAGCATTTCCTCTAACAATTAGGTTCACTTTGAATTTCAAATAAGTATCCAAAATTTTATAAATCCAAAACCAAACCCTTGATTCTTGAGCATCCTACCCCATCTATGCCCCACTCTATGGCTTCCCCGGCCTTATCATCCAACTAGTTACTCACTCCAAGATCTCAGAAGCTCTTTGATGTCTTTCTGTCACTTCCTATATCTGATCCATTTATGAGTCCTGTTAACTCTTCTCACATACAATATTTCGAATAAAACCACTTCTCGCTATCTCCTCTGCTACTATGCTAATTCAAGCGACTATACTTGTCTGATGCACTACATCAACTTCTCTGTTCCTCCTGATTCGACTTCTAATTCATTCTATATTATGGAGAGCAAAAAAGAGGTATTAAAAAAAGTTAGTAGATGTTTTAGCTCTCATGCTTAAGCCCCTTCAATATTCTTCCCATTGATTTGGAATAAATCTAAATTTCTACTTGGTCTGGAACTCGTCTACTTATCTGCCCTCATTTTCCCATTTCCCCTTTGGCACTCCCTCTGTCTAGCTTGGAAATCTGAAAAAGTGAAAATGCTACCTAAAATGTTAGTTTCACTTCTTGCTGTCCGTAATGTGCACTACACTCCCACTCTCTTGAAACGTTCTTCTCTTAGAGCTCCACTCCTTCTTCAAAAGCACCTTTTTGGAGGTTAGTTTTTCCTCCCCCATCCCTCTGTGTCATCATTTGCTTTAACTTCCTAACAGTACTTGCCACTTGATGAAATTTTCCATATACACATTGGCTTATTTGTTTAGCATACATCTTCTCTAATAGCATGTGAGTTCAGTGAAGTTGAGTTTCACCTCTCTTGTCAATCTCCCCCTACCCAACACCTGTTAAAGGGCCTGCTCTACAGTGGGTGAGCAAATATATATGTATTGAATAAATAAGTGAAACTAGCACTTTCTTCTTATTGAGTCACACTTTGTAATGACAGTGTCATTTTTCCAGATTTCCAACATAGCAATTTTAATTGTTTTTATTTTCTTCTGAGACTGCTATTAGTTCTTAGGTTCTATATTCTCTATCCCCTTGTTGATTCTTTATATTCTTATGTAAACTTTTCTTACCACCACTCTACCAGACTATTGAAATAGTCTCCCAAATATTTCCTTCCTCATTTCTTTTTTTCAGACTATAATCCTATCTACATTCTTGTTAAAATGCAGTCTTCCTGAAGAGAAACCCTAGATTATAAGCCTACCACTTCCTCATTATACATTTCTCTCTGTGGCACTCAGGGTCTTCTATAATGTGTCTTTTAACCACTTTTGAATATCTGATTCCCTCCCTTTTCCCTTTTTGATACCAAGTACTTCAAGTGATTTAACTGTGATTCTAACACCCAGTAGTTTTTATATCCTGCCTCATGCCTTTGCTTTCACTTGAAATATCTTATCTTCTATTTCTATCTGAAAATATCATATCTCTCATTCAATGTCCATCTAATATGTGAAGCCTTCTCTAGTTCCATCAGAGTTTCCTGACATCTGTATCTTGCTTAATATTAGACATTAGTTATTATTTCATCAGAGAAATCTTCACATGATAATCATCTCGAAAAGTACCTTACATTGTCTTCTGGAGCAGTGTTGCCTCTTCTTGGAAACAATTAAAATTAGGGGCTGTTTTTTATATTCTCTACCAAATCTAGGCATAAAAGAAATTTTTAACAAGTACTTATGAAACTATAACCCAAGAAAAACAAATTGTACAAATTAATGAGTGCCCTATCATTTGTTGGTTGTAGGATTAGCCATCTTTGTGTCCCCCCTTTTGATATTGACAGTTGCTAAGTAATCATGAAGATAAAAGAGACAAAAATATTTTAACACATTTTCAAGTAATTATAGTCATTAGAGTCTAAAGGACTAAATGGAATTTCATCACTGCAATAGTGGAGTAGTTTGGTAGGGGGTGAGACATAGCATGATTTAGAGAAACAAAGTCGGTAAACATTCGAGGAGAGGAGTTAAGAGAAATAAAATGCAATATGGCTCAGTGGTGAGAAAAGATAATGTGATGTTTATTTGAAAAGAAATTTTAAGCAAATTTTCTTTCCAGGATCTAAAAGCATATTTATATTCAAACATAAACATATTCATGTCAAGGAAGAAGAATAAACAATTGATAGAATATAAGTTTGGAGATTTGTGCAACCAATTATGATTTAAAAAATAAAAAAATTGTTGTCTTTAACCACTGTGTAGTGGAAAAATTCATCCCAGGAATAATAGAAAAACAGATGCCAGAAATGAAGTCAGTTAAGTTTAGAGTAGGATAGCCTAGAATGTCAGGAAAGAAGAAGTCTAGTTCTGGTTTTACCCAACTAGCTTGAAGACCTTGGATAGTTTACTCTCTCTGACCCCTCTATATGTATGTTTGACTAAGAAATCTTTAAGGCCTCTTCCAGATTAAAGATAGATCTAAGTCAATGAGCATGAAAACTAAAAGAAAAAAAGAGGCAGGTTTAAGCAGCAATAGATTTTTGTAGATTTTTATGATGACAAGGAAACATTGAGAATGAAGTAGAAAATGTGTGATCATAATGAGTAGGACACAGAGAAGCATAGCTCTGGAAATTTAGGCAGACATTATTAGTTCTTTGGTATCATCTGAGGATTTTAAATGATGGGATATGCCTGGGTTTGCTTTTCTAGTAAACTGTGTAATTTTGATCTCCGATATTTATGGTTACTGAGTATTCTAAATGAGTTCTTTTTTGTGGTGATGTAGAAATCTTAGTTTTCCTTTTAAAAAAAATCACAGGGAGGGAGCTAAGTAGTGGATTTTGTATGTATGTTTTATAGAGGGAATTGTGAATGGCAAATTACTGCTGCAGCATTTATGAATTATCCCTGTAACTTTGCAGTTAGAAGGTATTAAATTTGAAGAAAAATAGTGTGAATTCTTAACGGCTTGCTAGTAATTCAGAGCAAAGAAGGTGACTGCAAAGACACCAAGTCTCCTGACTTTTAAGTTCTTCATTCTTTCTTCCACAACATGGCAGAATAGATATCTATATTTCTATATATAGTTGATAGAGGTACTATTTTTTTTAAAGCTGGAACTGAAGGAAAGATGAGGGTGAAATAGACAGAATACATTCAGACCAGATAAAAATCTCTAGACTAGTCCAAGTGCAGGATGATAAGGTGCGAGCTACAGCAGGGATGGAGAGGAGACCACTTTTGGAAGGTAGCCGGGCGCCTGGGTGGCTCAGTTGGTTGGGCGACTGCCTTCAGCTCGGGTCGTGATCCTGGAGTCCTGGGATCGAGTCCCGCGTCGGGCTCCCTGCTCAGCGGGGAGTCTGCTTCTCCCTCTGACCCTCTTCCCTCTCGTGCTCTCTATCTCTCATTCTCTCAGAAAAAAAAAAAAAAGAAGGTAGCATGATAGCGTGATTTTGACTGTGTTCTCAAAAGTTCTACACACAAAGCTAAGAGAAAACTGGTGTATGATCTGTGTACTTCTCTCTCCCAAAATATGTAAAAGACACTAAAAATATTTATTGAGATACTTCCATGTTTTCTAGGCAGTAGAAGAGATATAACAACGTATAAAAATGAAACATAATAAGTGAGATTAATGTTACAGGAACAATAAAATAAGGATAAAAATGTAACAGCCAACACACCTAGTTAGAATTCTTCAAGGCATGCCTGGTTTTCTTACTCTGGGATTCAGAAACCTAGTGTCAGTATTTTATATAAAAAAACTTTGACTCAGAATTATATAAAATAACCCATGTATTAGTTATGATTGAATTAATTCTCCAACAATAGAGCTTTATGCAGTTACTCTACACAGTTACCTGCAAAATAATTGAAAGGGAAGTGTTTATAAAAGAGTTCCATCTCTTACTGGCTGAATAAATGGTGAAAACTCTTAACCACAGAGGCTAAGAGCCGAGATCCAGTCTGTCAGTGACTTGTTTCTTATCTCATACATTCTACTTTTTCCTGGAGTGTCTGTGTCTTGCTTTAGAGCTCTAATTACTAAATCAAAGTCTTTCCTCGTCCACTTTTTTTTCAAAACACCACGCTTGAGTACTGTGGATTTGCTTCCTTTCAATTTGCTCAGCAAAATTCGGGCTGCAAATTGAGTCTTTCTGTCCTGCTTGCCCTTACCTTTGTCACTACGTAGAGATGAATCAACTGCAGCCATGTTCATGGTTGTGGAGGTGTAACTCCCCACTGGTGTAGAACTGTGACATTTCTTGGGCAACATCTAAATATATGTCTCCGACATGAAGCTATAGCTTAGGGGAATTTGTGTGTGATTATGTTAAAAAAAATGTAGTCCAACAAAACAAAAAATACACAGAAAAGAAATGTTAATGGTTAGTCTCTTAAGATGATTGAATTATGAATTATAGTTTTCTAGGCTTTTGTATTTCCTGTAATAAGTAGAGTTGCTTTTGTAATGAAAGTATAATAGAATATTACTGCCCCATGTTGCATATGAAGAGAAAGGGGCAAAGTGCCATTGAGAAGAACAATGATATCTTGAAAGTTGAGTAACCAGGGAAGAAAGGTTCTAAAATCCAAGTTGGACCTTGAAAAATGGAACAGGTCAGAAAAATGGAGAGAAGCAGGGACAAGATTTCAAAAGAAATAAGGAACATGAACAGAATATACTTTTTCATGAGATAATCTTTATTCATGTGGTCCTCTCTTCAAATTCTTCAGGTATTTTATTCTCCTACCTGATTAAAATGTGTAAGCAAAAGCTCTCCAACCAGTGATGCTAAATATAGTTGTGTGTCATCCTTGGACTATGCATTTGGCTAAACCACAGCGATTGAAAATGCCTCTTTTAAAACATCGCTATTTATTATTCTGTAGTATATCCAAGTTTGTTTCTTCCTTTTGGAGTTGAAAAGGAAATTGCAAAGTGTTCTGCTTGAAGTGAAGGGATTAATACTTGTCCTATGCAGTCTGCGTAGAAGATAGAATACTAGCAGGGTTACCTTTAAGTTCCAAAGTGCCATCATTCTCAAGAGGTGATCACTAGATAACCATTTTGCTGGGCACAGAAGATTCAAGTGACTAAATCAGTATTGATTAAATTCAGTACTCAGGGGACACTTGGGAAATTGTGAGGCCGGGTAGTCAAAATTTTCCCTGCAACCTCTCCCAGTTGATTTTATCATCTCTATATCTATTTAGGGATTCTGCTTAATATAATTACTTAATACAACTCTAGTTGAACAGTGCAGGGTTTGGGGTGCTGACCCCTTGTGCCCTTGAAAATGAGTATGTAACTTCTGAATCCCCCAACACTTTACTAATAGCCTACTGTTGACCAGAAGCCTTAACAGTAACAGTCAATTAACATGTATTTTGTATGTTATATGTCTTATATACTGTATTCTAGAAAAAAAGAAATGTTATTAAGAAAATCATAAGCAAGAGAAAATACATTTGCAGTACTGTACTGTATTTGTCGAAAAATGTCTGTATATGAGAGGACCCAACATCCAAACCGATTATGTTGTTCAAGGGTCAACTATATTTTATTTGAAAAGTATTCTTTTACCCATTTTCACCTTCCTACCTTTCCCCAAGTCTTTCCCTCTTACCCAGAGTCTTTCATCTCATTCTCTCCACTGTTCAAATTACCTTTCAAATCCTGCTCTCTCAAAGGCTTTTCAACCAATGCTACTCCTGCTGATCTGCATCTCTCTAACAAACGTCTGAGTTTGTCATTTTCAACAGCATGGTTTTTGGTTGTCTACTATGTGTGAATCACACATGATTTTTACGTCCTTCCACATTTTCCACACAGCATCTAAATCGATACAGTGAAATCTGCCTAGCATGTACACAATACTAAGTTGAGTTTATGGCAGCATTGACTCCAAGTCTTTTCTCCGCTCCTGGGTTCTGAGAACCTAAAAAAGTGCTAGGCACACATAAATATGTAATACATGATTAGGTTATCTATTCTAGTGCTATCTCACCTTTGTCAGTATAGGGCACTGCGCTCCTCCATAGTAGGGCACGCCTCCATTCAGGAAGGTCAGTCTTACTCATTCTATGTTACTACACAACAAATAGAAGACTGGCTTCACTTATAGAACTGTCTTGAAACATGACATATTCATTTTGCCTATGTTTTAAAACTGTGATTGGTAATTGTCATTTATTTTTTAAAGGTCCTCCTGGACCCCCTGGTGAAAAAGGAGATAGAGGTCCTGCTGGAGAACGTGGTCCACGAGGCATTCCAGGTGCCGTAGGTATGCTAATAGTACTACTTCATCATATCCTTCAGGACCTGATAATATACATCCATATATGTGTGTTGGGGGAATTGCTATTTGATCTGTCTCCCGTGGGGGGCACACATGTGTGTATCTGGACATGTGTGTGCTAAGGGGGATATTAAGTGTTTTCCGGAAGCCTAAGCACTATAATGTACCAAATGTAACTGACTTTTGCTTTTTGAAGAAAGTTAAATGCTTTAGCATTTGGGGGGTTTTCACATGTCTGGGGAGTGCTATCTGTGTTATCGATCGCACACAGTATATGGTAGCCCTAGCTTTAGGTCACAAGAGAAGGAGAATATGAAAATCATCTTCACATTGAATATATTTGCATGTGTGTGTGTTTCAAAGGAAATTGGATCACATTCCTTATATAGTCCTTAACTGGGATATATCTGCTTAAACCCATGAAATCGAGGGGCGCCTGGGTGGCTCAGTCGGTTAAGCGTCTGCCTTCGGCTCAGGTCATGATCCCAGGGTCCTGGGATCCAGCCCCGCATCGGGCTCCCTGCTCTGCGGAGAGGCTGCTCCTCCCGCTCCCTCTGTCTGCCGCTCTGCCTTCTTGTGCTCTCTCTCTATCTCTGTTAAATAAATAAATAAAAATCTTAAAAAAAAAATGAAATCTAAATGTAAATATTGACTAGAATACGGATGACTTTTACCTTTACTGTCAGCTACTCTCTTTAACTTACTTAGAGCAAAATTGTCTTAAATTATTCTCCTCAGTTGATGTTGCAATCTTGAAGGCAATATTTTGAGAGAAGATCATAGAAGACAGAAAAGGAGAAAGAGCATGAACTTTCCTTGCTCTCACAAAAATAGGGGAGACAAGAGCAACAGCATGATTGTCATATTATTCTTGGCTAGAAATCAAATATCCGCATGCTCTTTGAAAGTGGGGAGTACACCGCATGGCTTAATTATAACCGGAATGGTTTGCGCTGCCAGAATCATGTCTAAATACCATGTACTTCATCCTGTTATTCTGTCTTTTGGTTATATAAAATGTTCTTCTTTCTGATCAATATATTGACTAGCCCCCAGGTTACATCAGAAAAATAGTATTTAAAAATGAAAGATGTGAATTTGACACCCCTCTGACCTTAACAACATTATGCTTAAAAAGCCAATACATAGTTCACATTAAAAAGATTTTAAAATTATTTTATTATATATGATATATATGTACGTGTGTGTGTATATATATGTATATCAGTGGGTTATTGGTATGCCTTTGAAAATATTGCCAGGTAAGATTCTCTATTCAGAAAAGTCTTTCTGCTTGCCTAGCACTCAGGAGATCCTCACAATCATGTACTCATGTCATAGCAAGGGAAGTAACCAGTATGCTGTCAGCTGTCAGAGCTAATACTGTCAGGGGTCTGTCAGCACCTCCGTTACAAACTGCAATTGTCAAAGCTTTCTAACTCAACCATGTAAGTTCAGTCTGGGCTACAACTTGCTGTACAAAGCTTCATCTTGGGAGCATCTTTTGCAACTGCTTCTGAACTATGGATGTGTGAAATAGAAAGATGGATTTAAAAGTTCCAGCTTTTGTTAATACCCTAAACAGATCCCATTGCAAAGCTGCTTTGATTCTTTTCATAAGAGTTTAGTCTGTTGCTGTTGGGATGGCTCATTTACACAAAAAGGCATTATGCAGTTTCTCATATAAAAGAGTTAGATTTCGTTGTTGGGGAATAAATTGACTATTTTAGATTATGAAGTTGCCATTTGGTTTAGGGCACTACAGCAGAAGTATTCAGGTTACCAGGCATCTCTCCTCATGGATTCCTCCCTATTTAATTGCTGCATTCTGTTTTGTTCTCTGCCAGATTGCCTGATTGCCCAATAGAAGTACTGGAATAAGGAAGTGAAGAGTATATGATGGGCAATTGTATTTCTACTTCCTGATTTCAGCGAGTTCATTCAAATCCCACCTATACTTCCGTTTGAGCTCATTAAACTCAGTTTGACCAACTCAAAGTCCCCTAGATTCACAACCATGATATGTAAACCTGAGAAACTTAAAGGATTATTCTAGTGGCCCTAAATGATCAGTGCATTAAATATACCACAGGTACTGGGCTGGACATTCTGTTAAAATTTGCTTTATCTCAACATAACATAATAGAAATTCATTTCACAGCGGCAGCTCCTTAGAAGCATGCCAGGGAGAATGACCTAGTGCCTTTTACTCAACAACATGTTTACTGAGCACCTTTCCTGTGCCTGATGCCCTACAAGGCCTTGTGGATCCCATACTCAGAAGGAGAGAATTTCTGCTTTCACAAAACTCTCAGTATGATAAGTAATTCTGTAAGTGATGAACGTTATGGTCAAGGATTCCTGATCTCATCTGAGATCCTTTGGGGGCCACTTTCTGGGCTATTGCCCCAGGATAGCCATTGCTGGGCTGTTTCTGCCCACTGGGATCAATACCAGGGTAGCCTGACCTGTAGACCTGGGAAGAGACCTCAAGAGGGAACCAAAGGCTCCTTTGGCTGCAAAATTTTGATCATCATCCAGTGCTGTTTACTTTTCTTAGTTGGCTTGAATTTTCCACCATAGGAATCATGCTTCTGGAGGAGAAAATAAAGTCCATCCTCACTGTGGTTATCAAAGGACAAGAACTGTATTTCATTAATCTTTATAGCTACCCATGTCTTTACCCTGCCTCACCCTTTCTCCCAGTCTATGGCCCAGAAAGACCTCTCACCCAGCCTTCAACAAGGATCACACTCCCTAAATATACAAATGAGTAAGGAGCATTGCTGGCTGCAGACTCTTGCTCTGAGTGTTGAAAGCAGGTTTCTTCAGGAGGTAACAAACACATTGTGCCAAGGAATCCAAAAATGCCTGCAAACTGTGTACATATCATTAAATAAAATTAAATTTAGCAGCCTTGACAAAAAGCTGGTGAAAATAATGATGGTATCATGAAGAAGAAGGAGAAGGAGAATAATTAGAGGGGGAGGAAGAAAAGAAGATGAACAAATCACTTATTGTGTGGCAGGCACTTTTCCAAGTGTTTTACACTTACTACTCTCTTACCCATCACATCAAACTCACGATTAGGGATAAAAAATGCACCTGTTTTAGAGAAGCACAGGGAAGTTAAATGACTTGCCCAAGATCAACCAGTAGCTGGTAAGTGGCAGAGCAAGTCTTTGAACCCAGATGGCATGATTTCAGAGTCCCTGCTCTTCCCCAGTCTGCTGGACCACAGAAAGAAGCCTGAATAGAGAGCTGCAAACCCAGGATATGTGACTAATTATCAGACCAGCTTCCCATAAATGGTTGAATCTCTCTGGTCTTCTGTTCCTGCCTCTACAAAATGACAGATGATGTGTCAGGCCCCTCAAAACACTAACTTCCATGACTGAGATTCTGTGTACTTAGATTGCCTCTGGGTTAGCAGCAGGTGTCAGGCCCTTTCCACTTGCCACAGGTTATTGTAGAACATTAGCTAATTGTCACTGGAAAGGTTCAGAGAATCTGATGTCGTGGAATAAAGTTCAGTCATGGTACTTACATTTAGGGGTCATATTTTCAAACATCATTAAACAGATCATATAACTCCATAGGCCATACAGAGCCTGCCTAAACATCTCCCATTATAGATGTCTAGAGATGACGTGATTTCTATGAAAGTATCACATCTACTTTATTTATAGATTCATTTGTTTGCCCACTGACAATGTGACAGAATTCCTAGTTGAACAGCTGTATCCTGAGTATCACTGTAATGTACTCAGGCAGCCATCTTTGGAGGGGTTCTTCCTGATCCCCCCCTCTCTAAAGCAAGGCATCCTCTATTGCATTTCTCCCTTTATTCTAAAATTATAATCTCCAAAATTACCTTCTTTCTTTACCTTCTTTCTTTATTTGTTCATCTCCTTGCTTTATGTCTCCACACTGGGAGATCTGTTTAGATAAGAACCTTTGTAATTCCAGGAACAGACAGGGACTGGCATATGTGTGCTCGGTGTATTTTTGTTGAATTAATGGAGCAAATGGTAAAAATGGGAGTCACCAGTGAGAGACTCTCTATAAAGAGTTGGGAATGTTCTAAGAGTAAAAAAGAAAGAGAATTTAGAGTCAGTATTTTTCTATGTAAATTTGAGTGGCAGATCTTAATAACTGTGAATACAGAGGTCTGTCTTGCTTGGATGAGGAAGAAAGATGTAAGCATTAATCAATCAGCCTGTCTTGGGAAGTGATGTTAGTTCTTTTTTAGGCTGTATGCTACGAAGTCCAGCTAATAGATACTACAAGGTGGAGTGTGTGAGTCTGTGTGTGTGTGTGTATGTATGTGTGTATGTTCAATATATGAATCTATCTATGGATGGTATATGGATATATTGTTATACATATGTAGATATATACATTTGTATTTTTAATACATATGGTATATGAATTTATATATATACAAAGTAATATATATTGAGTAAATTCAATTGAGACGGCCTAACTTTACGAATATTTCTAAACATAATTTATCATTTTATTGTTTTAGATCTCTGCTTAATATCTGTTGGAATCAAAGTTTAGACTCAGTTGAATAATATTTCTTAACAATTTAAAATATACTTAACATTTCTTAGAGACAAGTTAGCCCAATTTTAGGTGTCTATATGAATATACCTCAAGAAAAGATTTTTTTTTTTACTCAATATGTATGAGTCCTGCCTCCTGAAACTTATAAAGTAATGAAAATATACTAAAAGATTGATATTAGAAAAAGATGTATAATTTTTAAATTTTTCATAATGTGCTTCCCAAGGAGTTAACTGAAAATTGAATTAATGGGATCTCTGTGAACTGATATTAAAATCTAAAATGAAATTTTTACAATAGTTTATTTCAAACTGCTGGAGCTCCAGGATGAAATATTTTATTCTACAGGAAAATAATACTTTTATATGCAGTTTTCATGGTCACCACAGTAATTGGGGGAGGGGGAGAAAGGC